GATCCACAAGGTAGTGAAGTAACGTAAGAAGATGTAGTCCCATGGTAGCTGGTGACCAACAATACGTTTATACGCCATTTTTCCCTCAGGATCCTGGAGTCCATGTTCACCACTGAATTGAAATGAGGGTTTTCCAACTCCCCTAGGTGGATCCTCCATATCCACCGACCTGGTTAACGCACTAGACGTCCGCTTTTCTCTCTCAATTTCGTAGGCAACAGTAGGACTTCCCTGTCAGCGGTTGTAGGCACGTGGCCATGTGAGAGCATTCTGGAAGGGAGAGCTCTACCCACTTTCGGCCGTACCAGGGCGTTTGGGGTTCGCCGCCTTCTGGGAATCGGCTTAATTCAGATTGTTATTGTTTAATCACTAATATTGGATACAGTAATTTAAAACATTCCTAGAAACCTAAATTCTATAATGTTCTATTGTGGAAAATATCACGTTTTCCTATATGGTAGAAGAGTCTAACAATATGTAATCTAAATATTTAGTAAACTTAGAAATATGAATAGTACCGGGGTCTCCAAGTTTATTACTCAATAAAAGTGTCAGAAATTTAGTAAAACAACCAGTGGAAATGTATATGTCAATGGTGCACTTTTGTGGCACAATAGGTTAACAAGTTCGGTTGTTAACCGAAAGGTTGGTGATCTGATTCTACCCGTAGCCGGTAATAGCTTACTACAGTATGGTTCTTGATACAAGTGAGTCTGCTTCACAGAGCTGAGTCATTTTATTTAAATTGTAAAAGTCAAGCATGGCTTTCAATTTTCCTTTAGGCTGAAGTGAAACTACCCACTTAGACGGTATATTTATAATTGTGAGAGTGAAGCAACGATTCGGTGATTAAGGCGTCTGAATTTTGTGCTCTAAGTTCCATGTCGGAACCCCACTCCACCTACGTTGAGTTGAGCAACCGGGAAGTATCATTTCTTAGAATATATATCACACCCAAGTGTCTGGTGAGTAGGTTTAACAAAAATATTATAAGCATTGGTGATAACGACACTAATGAAGATGAACACTTATACTCCAGTTTTTCTTTATACAAACAGATCTGTTGAAAGACTCATCTCAGCCGAATTTTTCGACATTATTTATCGGTCAACTTTATAGACTTTAATGAAACCCTCTTTTGAATTCATCAAAGTTATATAATCTATTCACTTTCAATCATTCTAACTGTCGTATTGGTCATAAATAGTTTTTTTTTTCGATTTTCCATTACATCTGATTTGTAACTAATCATCATTATTCACTTGGTATTGTTTTGCTTGAATCTTCCCATTGAGGTTTAAGATTGCAATTGATCAGTTTGTTATTAGCATATGTACATACTGTATGTATTGCCTCGATATTGCCTTAATTCATAAGCTTTATATACTTTGACAGGTCATGTTATGTACGGGAAGTCACCATTTACAATTGAGCTATTCCACTGACTGACTTTACAAAATCTAATCAACTGGTCTTGTAAACATATTTGTAGGCTAATACTCAATCAATAAAAGCGTCTATCTTTCTAACTCTTGTTGGTTAATTCATTTCCTAATGGTCATTCAATCAACATGATTTATTAGTGCAATTAATATAGGTAACTATCGTGTGCATAGGTTATACTAAAGGAGACTATCAAATGATGTTTATAAATGGACACAATAATGTTCGTTTTTAATTCGTATGTATTGATTCTTTGAGTTATCCTATTATGGTTTGGGACTTTAAATCATTAATCTCTGTTGGCATATGAGCATCCTGTGAGGATTGCCTCGATAAGCAGAGATGGGTTGCGGCCAGCAGTGGAATCCTGACTTCCCTTTCGTTCTACTTGGTCTATCCTCACAGAATCCAGTCCGTTGGCTTAGAAATTGGACGCCTACGAATTCTTTCATTCTGTTTAACAATACCCTGCTGAAGACTTTTCCTGGTATTGAGAGAAGAGTGATACCTCTGTAGTTCTCACACTTGCTGTGATCGCCTTTCTTTGGTATCTTAATCAGGTATCCTTCTTTCCAGTCTGTCCGTACTTGTTCTTCATCCCAAATCTTGCTGAAGAGAATGTTGAGTATCTTTGCAGTTAGTGCTACGTCTGCTGGAATGTTGTCTGGTCCCGCTGCTTTGCCACTCTTGATTTGTCTGATGGCCATGCTGATCTCTTCAATTGTTGGTGGGCCAACATCGATTGGGAAGTCCATGGGTGCTGCTTCGATGTTGAATGGGTTCAGTGGTGCTGATCGATTCAAGAGTTCCTAGAAGTGTTCTACCCACCTGTTTCGTTGTTCTTCAATGTTGGTGATTACCTTGTCTTCCTTGTTTTTCACTGATTGTTCTGGTTTACGGTGATTTCCAGCGAGTTTCTTTGTTGTATCATACAATTGTCTCATGTTTCCTTCTCTTGCAGCCTTTTCTGCCATCATTGATAGATCTTCCACATATTTATGTTTTTCAGTTTTGATGCTCTTCTTCACTTGCTTGTTTACTTCTGTGTATTCAGCTTGTACAGAACTGTGCATCAAACCAAAACCGGACTACTTAACATAATGTAATAGATACACACAATCATGTTGTAATTGATAAACTATCTTTCAAAATATCTATACCATTATTATTACATTCCAGGGTATGGTAACTATTATCTATCATTGCAAGTTAACATTAGAAAACAATACATGTCTAATGTGAATGTAATACAAAGGGTATTACTCTTCTAGATTTTAAAAAGACCCACATTTTGACAAGTTGACCTTATAACCTAATACACATACATACATCATACATACACATTGTATCTATCTTCAATACAATCTATGTACTTAATTGTCACATTTATGTATATTTATGTGTATAATCTTTCTTTGTCTAATGAATTAGAAAAGGACACATGTTAGTTGATGAGTCACTTAAATTGTACTCCTTTGTATATAAACATAAAGATAATCAGATTAACAATAACCAAGTTATTGATAACAGTATATACATTAATTAGAATAGTTGATAAGGTGAATATTTAAAAGAAAAATGGTAAATAATTGAAATCATGAATCAATCAAAGCTAGACCACCATGGAAAACCTGGAAGCACTGGACGGCTGTTTCATCCTAGTATGGGACTCCTCAACAGTGCGTATCAACGATCCCGCCCTCCCCCCGCACTGTTGAGAATTCTCATACTTGAACGAAAAAGCCATCTAGTGCTTCCAGATTTTCCATGGTGGTCTAGCTTTGATCGACTCATGATTTCAACTATTGAAATTACTAAACTCTCCACAAAACCCCTTCCGATAAAAATGGTTAATGTTTATTATAAAAGAAAAATTTACAGACCTAATTAATTTTAAACATTGTGATATGATGAAATGGTGATATAATGGTCTAGAGGTTAAATGTTCGCGTGCAAGATAGATAGGTCTTGGGTTGGAATCTCGTGAGGCGAGATTGTGGATGTGCATTGCTGAGAAGTCCCACAGTAGGACGAAACGGTCGTTTAGTGCTTCCAGGTTTTCCATGGTGGTCTAGTTTCAATTGACTCATGATCTCAACTATTAAAATTACTATAATATCTGCAAAACTCCATCTGATACATGTGTAATAAATGGATAACATGAATAGATTAATGTTAGATCACTATTGAAAACCTGGAAACATTGAACGGGATACTGAGACTCCTCCACAGTGTACATCAACGATCCCGCGTATGGGATTTGACACCTAATATCTTCGGTCTCGCATGTGAATGCTTAACCTTGAAATCATCTGTATTAATTCTAAATCTCAGTGAATGAGTGAAAAGTTATGACACACTCCTTTGAGTATAATTGAAGTTAATTTTTAATCATAGACTAATATTCAGTGAAGAACTTATTTAAAATCACCAAATACTGGATATCATTCAGAAATGATTGAAAGTTAAACCTTAGATTACGATCTAATTGTCTAAAAATATCAAGTTCTTCACATAATCTACAGATCATTAGTTCGAAACAATAGGCACGTTTGTGTTTGTGAGACTCAGTCACATAAAACTAAACGTTGAGAACTAGAACGAAACAGTTATTCGATATGATCATATTTACATTCTGGTTGGCCTTTTAATTTGTTTGATCTGGTTGCATCAGTAAGCCTCAACATACATAAATGAAAAAGCAAGATCCTCAAATACAACACGGAGAACGCCACACTTGATCGACAAGCTCTGGAACATGTGCAATCTTTCACGTATCTGGAAAGCATCATCCATGAACAAGGAAGATCGGATGCAGATGTAGAGACGAAGATTGGCAAAGCGAGCGCCGTATTTCTACAGGTGAAGAACATATAGGACTCAAAACAACTGTCAACAAACATCAAAATCAAGATCTTGAATAAGAAGGTCAAGACAGTTCAACTGTACGGAGATGAAACATGGGGAACTACCACAATCCATAACAAACATGTACAAATATTTATAAACAATTGTCTACGCAAGCTACTGAATGTCCATTGGCCAGATATCATCAGCAACAGTCTTCTGTGAGAGAGAACAAACCAGCTTCCATCTGAAGAGGTGACAAGGAAATGACGTTGTAAGTGGATGAGACGTACACTACAGAAATCATCAAACTACATCATGAGGCATGCCCTAACTTGGAATACTGAAAGGAATCGGAAAAGGGGAAGGCTGAGGATCACACTACGTCGGGAATCGTAAACAAACATGAAAAGCATGGACAAGTACAGAAGAATGTTTTACAACGATATAAATGTATGTAAAATTTGTTTAATAGCTTAAGTGTTTCGAGTTCTGTTTGTTGGATGTTCAAATTATTCAATTATAAATGGCCTATTTGAATTCAGGCTTCATTTAAGTAAGAAGACATCATAAATTTATCTTTTAATGTAAATGTTTTTATAAAATCATGAATTTATTAAGGGTAAGAACTTCGCCTGTAACTCTTCTAGAGTTACTGCCGGTCCCAAGCCCGGATAAAAGAGCAGGGTTGACAACCCCATCCCATAGAAAAAAAATCTTGCTAAAAATCGACAATCAGATTAAAGTATTAAGGGTAAGGAATGTAATTGTATAAAATCAATAATAAAAAAATCACTTCCAAATTGTCTTCAACGATCTTCTTATATATTTTGTCATTAAAGATTGAAGCTATGATGTGAGAAATGATTTTCATTCCAGCTAAAATATTTTTTATCTAATTAATGTGCATCCTGCTCACTACCTTCTCGTGGCAGGAGTGTTGTCTACGAAATTGAGAGTGGGGAAAGCGGACGTCCGGTGCTTTAACCAGGTTGATGGATATGGAGGGTCCACCTAGATGAGTTGGAAAACCCTCGTTTCAAATCAGTGGTGAACATGGACTCCAGGATCCTGAGGGAAAAAATGGCGTATAAACGTATTGTTGGTCGCCAGCTACCATGAGACTGCATCTCCTTACGTTACTCCACTGCCTTGTGGATTAGACCGGTCCAAGTTGCCGTACCTCATTAGCACAACAAGATGGACACCAAGTTAATAGAAGTAGTCACTTCAATCGTAGTAATCTATAAAAGAAAGATTGTCTATAAGGATATAATACAGGAAGAAAGAATTAGTTGGTAGAAAGAAAGATATAAAGTAATTTTAATCTCATGGTTAAAGGGCAGACGAAGAGTGTATACACCGATGCCATTGTGATCGATTCTGAGCCATGTCACCCAGAGTCTCCAAACATTGGTTACGACAGTCACGTGGACCCAAACCAAGTAGTTTGCATCTACCAACATGGCTCAGACTAGAAGTTAGTGACTTCAAGCATTGGTGCCACGTTTTGGTTTGGCCGCCCTTAACTTTTTTCCATCCATCCCCAACACCAGATAGCATTGCGCGTCGTGGCAATCGGTGTTCAAGCATACACAACACGTGGCCCAACCATGTTAGTCGATGAAGATTCACAACCTCATCGACTGATTTTCCATCATCCCCTAATGCTCTGCGTCTAACCTCACTATTACTTACCCGGTGATCCCAGCAGATGCAAGCTATATTTATAAGGCATATGTGGTCAAATACTAGTGGCTTACGAATATCTTCTACTCTTAATGGCGACATTTCGCAGCCGTAAAGTAAAACAGAACGAACTGCTGCCCAGTATACTCGGCCCTTAATTAATAGATGGATATCTCTACTTCGCCATAACTGACGTAATTTGGCAAAAGCCAAACGAGCTTTCTGAATCTGTACAGAGATTTCGTCAGACACCAACTCATCAGGGTTGATCAGACTTCCAAGATAAGTGAAGTTGTCGACACGTTCGACTACTTCACTGTCTACCCTTAGTTCAGGTGTAGACACAGGCCAGTCCTGAAGCAACAACTTGCATTTAGAGGGGGGAAAACGCATCACAAACATTCTGGCACTGTTGCTCACTACCCTGACCGTTGCTGCTACCTTAACACGGTGGTCAGACTTGACTATCGTGATGAACCAAAAGAGCTATACTGACTAGAACAATCGTTCCTTAAAGTTCTACCATGCCAGACAGGTCTGTTGAAGAGCAGTAAGACCAAAAGCAACAAACCCAAGGTCCGAAGGCGAAGTCATACTGCTGACTGTACAGAGGTGTGACGGCAGTAAGGTGTTCCCTTCTGACAATCATCATCATAGCCATGCTGCCTACCCACAAGGAGGGGTGGGGTTGGAAAGGGTCGGCTCTAAAAATGCACATCTCTACTTCTCTCACGGATTCCCGTCTCCAGCGGTAAGGTTCTAATAAGTACGTAGCTAACAAGAAACTTATTCACAACAAGATCGTATGTCACCGACCTCAAGCAGTTGTACCTTGAGCACTACAGTCACGCTCTCACGTCACTAAAACAACCCAAAACACTATTTCCTTTCCAGATATCTCTAGATCAACCCCTCCACAATGTGGCAAACCAAGAAGTCATAACTGTCCTCATACATCTAACAACACTCAAAATCATTCGATTCATAATCAATACTCCTAGTTTCAAACACTAGATTTATTCACAGAAATCATTCACAATTTACACACCTCATACATAACTAACTCTAATCTTGTCAATCATAATGAATTTATATAATTAATCTATAGTTTATTATCAAGTCATTTTAACACATTGCATTTCTTCGAAATACCAAATAAATAAACGATGTTAAATCGTGATAATCACAAGGTTGTCAATCAGTTATCAACGTGGAGCCTAACATAGAAGTAGGTTGACACAAGTTGTCATATCACGTTTGCATTGCATGATAAGATAAAATCAATACTACTTATACATATATTTGTACCAAAAGAACTAAGAGTGATGCAGTAGTAGTAGTAGTAGTAGTAGTGGTAGTCGCGGTGGGGGTACTTATAATGAGATAAAAATAGGCAGTAAGAATAGGATAATCTTGTAAGTATAATTAATTTGTAAAGTACTTTCTAAACTTGTACAACAGTTTATTGAGTACTTTGAAAGCACTTACAGTAAGAAAACAATTTGACAAATATGTAGGATTTTCATTCGAATTCTGTAAATCTCTCTTGAAAGAAAAACATTAAGTTTCCTTACTGTTGTGACTTTATTCCTGACTAGTTATCATGTGATTTATTCATCAATCGGAATACGACTAATACAATCGTAACACTGTGCCACATCAATCACATATTGATCGGCATGAGTTACCTAGCATCTTTATTAGTCACTGTTTCTTGAGTAACCCTGTATGTTCAGTCCAGAACAGTGATCACAGCCTCACAGCGACATGCATTATGTATTTCAAACATACTAGGTTTATCATACAGAAGTGAAATAGACCACATCACACCATGAAATACAAACTAACATTTATACAAGATCAAGTGAAAAGGTGGCTGTGAATATGGGAGACTGTAATGAATAGACTGGGTATAACTCAAGAATGGTAAATCGTATCATAATAGTCTATAGATCGAAATGAAGCTTATAATAAGAGGAATATGAATCTACAGATAGTCTAGCTGCTTAACAATTACACAATAAGAATTTATATATAATATGAATCCATTAACAGTTCTCAGAAGTTATCCGTCATTTAACAACTACCATAATGGTTAACACATTACTAAAACATGTTATGAGTATGTCTAATCTTTCTTTATATAAATACAAAGAAGCATATTTGTATTTACTACCTATACTGTCCAGGTCAGTTGTCATGCTTTAACGAACATAACAGTACCATTGGCCATAGAAAATAGAAATGACTCATTGTTTGTCCTTTTCACTGTAATAAGAATATATGAAGTTGATCGATTATCCACAACAACAACAACAAAAATTACGATGGATGATAAGAAAAAGAAACAGTTTCCATGTTGATAGATTATTTTACAAATTTTTATCACTTCTATGATTTCATAATTGAATTCATGAGTTAACTGAAGTTAGACTATCATGGAAAACTTGGAAACACTGTACGTCGAGGTGTACAGAACAAGCTGTAAAATGCATATGGAGAAATTCGAACACTTCACTTTTATCTGAAGTTTGTGTTGATGATGTCGTTCAGAAGAACGATTAAAGCTCCACGACCAAACCATCCAGCTCAGAGAACAAAATTCCGTCAAAATCATCCACCTGAGCTACAAATCTTCTCCACTGTACGGCTGTTTCATCCTAGTATGGGACTTCACAGCAGTGTGTATCCACGTGCCGATCCCGCGAAATCCGAACCCAGGACCTATTACTTTCGAGTGATTTTCCATCTAATGTCAATTCATTGTGATAACAACTACTACTCAATAATATACATTCATAAGCATGAACTTGGTAATCAAACTCAGGACATTCAGTATCGTACTTAAACTTCTAACATATGAAGCTCTGAACTGGCATCTAATGGTGTTAGAAGAATCCATAAGAAAATCTCATTCAAGACACAATTCCAAGCCATCACTTTCGGATAATCTATTCAGCATTGTACATAAATCAAATGTTCACTTCAATTAATAGTTTGTAAATTGGATAGACTGAACACATACTGTATTCAATTGGATATATAGTAGAATGAAAAAAACTTTCGTTAATTTCATCAACGATTTATACATACAAAAATTTCCATTAAATGAATTATGAATAGCGGCCAAATGCCCTGGTACTGTTGAGGGTGGGGATAGTTCGTACTTCCTTTCTACATGCTATCATATGGCTACGTGTATACAACCACTGCCAGGAAAATCCCACTCACTGCCTTCTCGTGGTAGGGGTGTTGTTTATGAACTTGAGAAAACGAAAAGCGAATATCCGGCACTTTAACTGATCCACTTAGGGCAGTTGAAAAATCCTGATTCGAAACTAGTGGTGCACATGTGCTCCAGGATCTTTAAGGAAAAACTGACGTACGAATCTATTGCTGGTCACAGGCTACCATGGGATTTCATTTCCTTAAGTTCATTCACTTCCTTGTGAATTAGACTTTCATAGAAATCAAATGATAAGGTATGGCATATATGTATTCGATGTCTCTTTGAACCGATAGATGTTAAGCGCTTGCATGCGTAAGTGATAGATCCTGACTTCGAATCTCGCAAGGCGGGATTGTGAATGTGCACTGCTGAGGAGTCACACAATAGAACGAAACGGCTGTCCAGTTATTCCAGGTTTTCCATGGTGTTTTAGCTTCAATTGACTCATGATCTCAGCTGTTAAATTATTATAATATCCACGTGTATACAGCCATTGCCAGGGAAGTCCTAATCACTGCCTTCTCGCAGTGATGGCATGTGTGTGGCATATATGTATTCAATGCCTTTTTGAACCAATATTTATATTCACTTGGTATTATTTACTTAAATCTTCCCAATTAAACAATACCAAGTAAGCCAGCTTCCAGCTGAAGAATAAATTAGGAAAAAATGATGGAAATGGATAGGACATACATTAAGAAAATCATCAAACTACATCACGAGGCAAGCCCTGACTTGGAATCCTAAAGGGAAACGGAAAATTGGAAGGCCAAAGAACACATTACGTCGGAAGATAGAAGTAGATATGTGAAAAGGATGATTAACAATTGGAAAGAGCTGGAAAGGACTGCCCAGGATAGGGTTGGATGGTGAGTGCTAATGGGTGGCCTATGCTCCTCCACGAGGAGCAACAGGCGTAAGTAAGTAAGTAAGTATTTCAAAAGTAACTGGTTATCAGGACTCAATAGTTAAATGGATAATACAATGATATTTAAAGCAAACATTACTAAGTTCGAGTCCCAAGATTAATCTCAAGTTTAAAATACAAACATATCCAACTGATAAGTTATAAATAGGACGAAACATACATTCTATATTCTATTACTAGCTATTATACATCTTTGTTTACTATATCTATATATTTAATAAGGTAAATTCTGTATTATAATTTTATCAGAAGGGCTTTGTGGAGATTTTACAATTTTCACAGATTGAAATCATGAGTCAATTGAAGCTAGACCACCATGGAAAACCTGGAAGCACTGGACGGCCGCTTCGACCTAGTATGGTAGTCCTCAGCAGTGCGCATCCACGATCCCGCACCCCGCGAGATTCCGACACAGGACCTACCGGTTTCGCGCGCGAGCACTTGACCACTAGACCACTGAGCCATCATCCAACGGTGTTAATGTCTAACTTCAACTAATCCACGAAATTGAGCGAAACATCCATCATTGTCTTCAGTGAGTTACTATCTCACAACAGACCTGGTTGATATATTCCGACGGGTATAGGGCATGGCAACTGTTAGAATCTAATGTGTGAGCGAAAGTGATAATAATTGGTTGTCTACTTAGTCAGACATATAGATAGTCTGACAGGTATTAGATGAGTTATATATTCCTCTTTCCTTATTATTGCTTCATTGTTGTTGGATTATGTTGGGTTTTGGTGTTGAAATATATTTACATTCTGGTCAGGTTAATCACATGTTCTTGATCTGAGTTGTGTTGAAGTCCTATAGAATAGACACTGGAAGGGAATCTAATGTAGATATTCGTCTAAGGTAAATTAACGTCCCATACATGATGAATAGTGGCTAGCAGTGGAATCTAGGACGCGCGTCACTTCGTCCTATTTGGGACTCGTCAGCCGGATATACCTGCATCTCAAACTTGTTGATGTTCACTCTGGGACTCGAACCCAGTACCATTCGCTTCAAATGCCACTCAGCTACTGAGATCCTGATAACCACTTGTTTGTGCAATGGAATGAATTTAAATTCACTTGGTATTGTTTGGCTTGTATCTTCCCATTGAGGTTTTAAGACTGATCAATTGATCAGTCTATTATTGGCATACGCACAATATGGACATATGCCAATAAAACCTCAATGGGAAGATACAAGCTAAATAATGCCAAGTGAATATATATATGTTATCATGTATTTATAACTTACTAATTCATCTAATGAACGAAAATCAACAACTGGACGTTGTAATTCCTGTTTTTGTTTCTCCTTCTTCACATTATTATTATTATTATTATTACAATCTAATGATGGATGTTGATTAGTTTTATTCATTGAAATGTTCTTATCTTGTTGTTGTTGTTGTTTACGTAATCCTATTGAACAATTGGATCGATAATAAGTTGATTGATTTTTATCATTATCATCATTATTATTATTATTATTATTGATTTTTTGATGATGATTGTTTGAATTGATTGAATATTGATTAATTGATTGATTAAATTCATTAGTTAATTGTTTATCAATTTCAATTTCTAATTTAACAATATCTGGTATACACATATGAATATAATTACCAAGACGTGCTAATTCTAATAAACATACAATAACATTACGTAGATTTTTTTTACATACTAAATCTTCACTTTCAAATAAGATTGAATTATACATACCAAGTTGACGACACCATTGTAAAAAATTCGATACATTATTACGTGATATAAAACTGATGATCGCATTAGATGAATGATGATGATGATGATGATGATGATGATGGTGATGATATTCATATTTTTGATAAATTGGACTAGATTTAGGTAATGTAACTTGTATACCACTAATACGTATATTATGTAATGGGTTAGATTTAGAATGATTAATTGATTGATTAGTTTCTAAAGTTAAACGATGATGTAATTCAGTTGCATGATGACATAATAGAATACCATCGGATAAATAATCAAAAAAATTATCTGAATTCATTTCATTAGTCATAGTTGGATACATTTGTTTAAACCAATCAACTAAATCTTCAATCATAACTAATAATAATTCATCTTTATTAGTATTATTATTCACACTTATACTACTTGAATCTTCCGATGTTGTAGTATTAGTAGTATTTGTATTAGAATAAATAGAATCAATTAATTGATTATGATTACTAAATGATGTATGAACATAACCACTATCATCATCTGTATTTAAACTATTTAAACTAGATGATAATCCCATAAATTGACGTGTTATCATATCGAAATTATTAAATGTTTCTTGTAATATTAATTCACTATCTGTTGGATCTTGTTTATTATCATTGGAAATAAATGAATCATGATGATGTTTTACATGATTGACATGATTATCATTTAATTTATTAAATAGTATATTTGTATTATTCATTGAAATAGGTTCTATTTTATATGGATAATTATCTGGTGGTAATGAGAATGCTCGTTGATGTATTCCATTTAGACGATTTAATCGATCCATATTCTAATCTAATTTCATAATGTTTAAATGAATCATTCTATAAAAAAAAATGTATCACATTTCAATGCCATTCAATGTAATAAACATATTTAATGAATAAATAAAGTAAATAAAGTATAAATATTCCAGTTTTGATTAATAAACCCAGTACATGTGCATTGGATGGTACTTCCTTATTTACTTTTGTTTTTTTAAATGAATGAGTCTTTTCAAAATTCAATATTATAAATAGTTTGAATCTACCAATCATATTAGAGAATTTGAATTTATTTTCTTCACATCATCCCACGCATTGATGATTTCAATTATGATTGGTTAAAATGATTATTTTTTTATGGATTTTTATTGGTTTATCAAGGTCAATAGAATCCAATCATATTGAAGGATTTCATTTAGTGGATGGTATCCATATATACTCAGATTGGTAGTAGACTATAATAAGTGGGACTATGATTTATGGAGATAATAGGTGTTGGATTTTGGCGCGATATTCAATCTTGCCATTATAGCTAATGTCATTTCATGACGTAAACTCTGTCAATTGTAAATCATAATTCGAGTTCCTAGCATTCATTGATAATCCCTGTTTGGTCCTAGTTATCAGCTGAACATTCTCAAGGTCAGTGTAGAGTCGCTAGAAGGTCGTCCATGAATTGTAGTCTCACCGATAAAATAGAAAGAATAGTTGTTCATAGTTTTTCGTGTACAACAGTTTATTATATCCTAACGAGAATACTGGATAGTAACTGTAGGGATCTATTTATGGATTAATACAAAACATATATTTTTACTGTAACTTAACTATGTATATTCATATTCCCCTTATTATAAGCTTCATTTTGATCCATAAACTATTATGATACGATTTACCATTCTTGAGTTATACCCAGTCTATTCATTATAGTCTCCCATATTCACAGCCACCTTTTCACTTGATTTCGTATAAATGTTCATTTCTATTTTATGGTGTGATGTGGTCTATTTCACTTCTGTATGATAAACCCAGTATGTTTGAAATACATAACACATATGGCACAGGCTGTGATCAATGTTCTGGACTGAACATGCAGGGTTACTCAAGAAACAGTGACTAATAAAGATGCTAGGTAACTCATGCCGATCAATATATGATTGATGTGGCACAGTGTTACGATTGTATTAGTCGTATTCCGATTGATGAATAAATCACATGATAACTAGTCAGGAATAAAGTCACAACAGTAAGGAAACTTAATGTTTTTCTTTCAAGAGAGATTTACAGAATTCGAATGAAAATCCTACATATTTGTCGCATTGTTTTCTTACTGTAAGTGCTTTCATAGTACTCATTAAACTGTTGTACAAGTTTAGAAAGTACTTTACAAATTAATTATACTTACAAGATTATCCTATTCTTACTGCCTATTTTTATCTCATTATAAGTACCCTCATCGCGACTACTACTACTACTACTACTACTAGTACCACTACATCACTCTTAGTTCTTTTGGTACAAATATATGTATAAGTAGTATTGATTTTATCTTATCATGCAATGCAAACGTGATATGACAACTTGTGTCAACCTACTTCTATGTTAGGCTCCACGTTGATAACTGATTGACAACCTTGTGATTATCACGATTTAATATCGTTTATTTATTTGGTATTTCGAAGAAATGCAATGTGTTAAAATGACTTGATAATAAACTGGAGATTAATTATATAAATTAATTATGATTGACAAGATTAGAGTTAGTTATGTATGAGGTGTGTAAATTGTGAATGGTTTCTGTGAATAAATCCAGTGTTTGAAACTAGGAGTATTGATTATGAATCGAATGATTTTGAGTGTTGTTAGATGTATGAGGACAGTTATGACTTCTTGGTTTGCCACATTGTGGAGGGGTTGATCTAGAGATATCTGGAAAGGAAATAGTATTTTGGGTTGTTTTAGTGACGTGAGAGCGTGACTTCAGTGCCTAAGGTACAACTGCTTGTAGTTCATCACACATGTCTTTGTTGTTCTGAACTCAACAGTCAAGGCTAGTCAGGAAGAACACTCTAGACTATTCGTACGCGTTTTTTGCGTCATTGTTCCGGTTGATGAGTCACTAGTCTTTAATTGGCGATATCCTTCCATCATATATTGATAGGGCATAAGGTCACAACTTATAACACAAATAAATTCTCTTTCTATTTAGGAAATTTTAGAAAACTGAACAATCATTATTGATGATGTTTAAGTAGTTATAAAGAACTTTCTTATTACTGATGGTATTTTTCAATAACAGTTACCCGTTCGATTATGAAATGTTATGTCAAAGTGCGGGAAAAGAAAATTTAAACCTACTTTGTACTGTGAAATACTTCTTTCGCTTGATTTTCATTCAATTCAATAAATCTCTCAATAATCTCTGTTCTGAACTTATTGGTTACTACAATAAGTGAATTATCACTTTGTCTACTTGACCATAGCATGGAGGTACAAAGACAGATGTATTCCTAATACTTCTATAAATAGATGACTCTGATAGTTTGGGCCTTAGATAAGGACTAGAAGTAGAGGAATATATTACATAGATAAATGGATTGAGTGAAGTTAAGCATTGACACCGTTGAACACCAGCTTAGTGGTCTAGAGGTTAGGAGTTTGTGCATGAAAATGGAGGTCATGGTTTCCAGTGTTTCTGGTGTGGGATCGTGGATGCGCATTTCCGAGGAGTCCCATAGTAGGACGAAATGGCCATCCAGTGTTTTGAGGTTTTCAGTGGTGGTCTACATTAGATTGACTCGTGAATTCAAGTATGAAAGTAAACTTTATTATCAAAGAAATAAACTGATGAATAAATAATTTTACAAACATGAATATTTAGCAAAGAAATAGTGCTTTTGTATCAGATAATCGTCATGCCTGTGCACAAATATGAAAAATTTACAATCGAATATAGAAATTATTACTTTTAATGATTGAGATCATGAGTCAATTGAAGCTAGACCACCATGGAAAACCTGGAAGCACTGGACGGCCATTTCGTCCTATTATATGACTTCTCAGTAGTGCGTATCCAAGATCCCGCCTCGCAAGATTCGAACCCAAAATCTATCGATCTCATGCGGTAAGGAATGAATGAGCAGTAATATTACTTTAATTTGGTGTTATCGATGAAAAACAATCATGAAGTTTCAATAATTCATATACAACAGTTTGAATACAATGTTTAATTGATTGTAGTTTGTTAAGAATTGAGCCTCATTAAATATCCATAATAAACATCTGGATTGAAGCACATGACCCACTGAAGTGAAAAAATTATCAGTATAGGGTTGTGAAGATTATTAAGTTTTTGGTTGAGATCATGAACCATATACTCACTAGTGACTAGCTTCGTGAAGGAATTCTCATAGTTTTAGTGAGAAGCCATGACCAGTGGAGCTAATCCATGTCGAGTAGAGGCAGGTATCCACCTCAGTACAATGGATGATGGTCGCGTAATTTCGTGGATTGCTTGAGGTTAAACATCAACACCGTTGGATGCCGGCCAGCTCAGTGGTCTAGAGGTGAAGCGTTCGCGCGCGAGGCTGATGACCCTGGGTTGAAATCTCGCGAGTGGGATCGTGGATGCACGCTGCTGAGGAATATCACAATAGGACGAAACGGTCATCAAGTGCGTCCAGGTTTTCAGTGGTGGTCTAACATCATTCGGTTCATGATCTCAAACAAAAAGTGAAAAGTATTGTAGATATTGTAAATGAATGTAACAGAAACTATTCGTTACCCTGATGATTACTAGAAGGTATTAAGTCGTACTCACATCCAATCAAACAGAAAAATATTAGAACCATATACTATAAATGAAATAAAAAAGATAGCTTTTGAAGGTCTCTAAGAGTTAGAAAAACTTTTCAGTCATATGAAATAACCATACAATAGCTGATTGAATTCAAATTCAAAGCCTAGACAGCTAGACTTCTGCAAGGAGACTTCTATCAAACTGAAAATGATATTCACAATCCTTTGAATATTGATCTGTTGATAGGTTTACGAAACATTTTTCATTGATCCTAAAGCTTGTGATCCTTTTATCAATATTAGTATGATGACTATAAAAGTTCATTTTAAAAATCTGTAAGCAAAAACAAAAAGTTCTATAGATGGGTATAAAAAAAGGACAAAATCTTACTATAGTAGATTGTTAGTACAAATAAATCGATTACATATTCTGTTGTCACTACACAGATGATACTTACACAATACTAAGAACTAAGTATGGGGGTACTGAATTTACTGGGCAAGTTTGTCGAACTTCATCTAGCAATGTTTTTGCTAAGAGATGAGGAATGTGATAGTACTATTGCTTTTCTAGACTTTCTACCAACGATCGAATCAGCTGAGACAGTAAATAGTAGTGTTGATAAAGAAACTTACCTTCATAGAATTTTCCCTATTACAGTATAAAACAAATCCGTTTAAATCCTTGATCAAAAGACCTAATCCATTAGCCCTAAAGACTCCTTTCAAAAGTGAATTAAAAGTATTTACGATCGACAGAGTGAAAATCGATTGAATCCCACATAACCGAAACATTTTTGAATCCAATTCTTAAGTTGACTACTATACAATCAATGTAAAGTTTTTTCATCCAGTCTTATTCATATTTAAAGGATGAAACTCTATCGCACACTTAACAACAAATGCAGAAGAAGACGACCAGTGTAGCAGCAGCCTCAGCAGTAGTATGTCTCAGCATGCATAAGGGGAAAAGCAAGATTCTCCGATACAACACAGCATGCACCAATCCAATCACAATTGACGGAGAAGATTTGGAGGATGTAAAAACCTTTACATATTTGGGCAGCATGATTGATGAACACGGTGAATCCGATGCAGATGTGAAGGCGCGGATCAGCAAAGCAAGAGCAGCATATTTACAACTGAAGAACATCTGGAACTCAAAACAACTGTCAACAAACTCCAAAGTCAGAATTTCCAACACCAATGTCAAGACAGTTCTACTGTATGGGGCGGAAACCTGGAGAACTACGAAAGCTATCATCCAGAAGATACGATTGTTTATTAACAGTTGTCCATGCAAAATACTTCGGGTCCGCTGGCAAGACACTATCAGAAACAATCTACTGTGGGAGAGAACAAACCAGATTCAAGAGGAGGAAGAAATCAAGAAGAAGCTCTGGAAGTGGATAGG